AACTGTATGAAATAAACTGTACTTGTGAATGACTGGATCTAACAGAAACTAAGAATTGAGGTGGAAAATACTTGACTAGTGTATCTCACTGTGTAGTTTTAATGACTGTTTTTATTGTTTCAATGAATGTTCTTAATTGTTTTTAAATCTCCTTTACTTTTGCCTTATGTTTTGATGCTTTTAATGGTTTTATGTGAAGCACTTTGAATTACCTTGTTGAAATGTGCTCCACAAATAAACTTGCCTTGCCTTGCCTTGCCTTCAACAGAAATCTTTGTCTCATTTTCATTTGCAGTTCAAGGTATCCTCAGATTTAAAACAAATACCGATTTATTTAGTGGTACTTGACCTCATTGAGCGCCACATGGTGAAATGTCCATTTTCATTGTTCATTTGAAATAATTCTATAACGTGATGTGTTTTGCTTACCACCAGGTCACAATGGCAAAGCCCAGTGGAGCCGTGACGGTCATGATCAGTGTCCGCCAGTCATTCACCAGGAAGGCAAACCCAGCCAGCAGCATGTTACCTGCAGACCAGGACAGACTGCCGATCACACCGATAAATGACCTGTGACTTGTGTCGACCCACTCAATGCCTGCAAGGTGAGGAAAATTACATAATCAGTTAGTAATAATGATAATAATAACAATAATAACTCAATGATAAAGCAGTTACTTTCTGTTTTATTTGCATTTCCCTAAATCTTAAACCTTAAATCTCATCTGGCCATTTGGGGGAAAACAAGCTGTGAACACAAAACATGACTTTGCATTATCTTTCAAGCTTAGTTAGCTTACTGAGAACAATGGAGTTGATGCCGATTCCTGTCAGTCCGAACCCAGTGAGAAATCTCAGCACTGCAAACAGAATGTAGGAGTTTGCAAACGCACTGGCGAAGCCAAACACGATGGTCATGATGTACGAGGCCAGAAGAGTGTTTTTCCTCCCATACCTGCAAATAAGAAAGACTTAACTTTATCTATACGACTTAGGGACTGCAGGTGTGAAAAACGTTTTCTGCCACCGAGGATTTATTTGAACCCAAAACATGATCTTTTTCAAAAGAACCAAGTTGGCCATCCATATGAAAGGTGGCGAATTTTTCCTTTCATTTTGTATGTATAAGTATATGCAAAAAAAAAAGGTATTTGCCATTTGAAGTCTTTAAATCAAATTTTCACTTCATCATAAAAAAGTTGGAGGCACATTTTTTATTCACGTACTTATCACAGAGGAATCCAAAAGCAATGGTCCCTATCATCATGCCAAAAAAGAAGATTGTGCCTGTGGTTCGTGACAGGCTTTTTCTATCACAGACAAGGTCCCACTGGAGAAGCAGATCACAGAGAACAGGTCATTAGATCATCTATTGGGGAACAGGTTCTTTCAGCGTGGCACTGAAACAACAAAACTAAATTTCTGTCATTTCCATAAAATGACAGAACCATAAAAACACAGTGTTTGATGCTGATAAAAACTCCTCTGTACCTCTGTTGCCAGGGTGGACGTGAAGGTGGAGTTGTCGTGAACCCATCCGCTCTGACACTGAACGGTTGGCAGGTCAGCGCTGTCGGAGCTGTTGGCTAAGAGCTGAAACTGAGGCGTTGCAAACATCTCACAGGATTTCGGGCCACCGTCTTCCCGCACGGGGAGGCTCACGGTCAGTCTCTGCTCCTGAGTTAAATTTCTGAAGAGTCCTCCAGCACCCAGCGTGCTGATGTCACAGCGGTGAGGAGGCACCGCGGCGATGAAGTTATTCAGTAAGAAGTGACAGGGCAGAACTATTCGAGGGGTGCACAGCAGGATGATGATGGCGATTTGGAAAGGCCCAAAACTGCCGATTTCTTCCAGGATATTCTCAAACTTCATCTTCACTGTGCTTACGGTTTCTAGAAGAACACATTTAGAATGCTGTAAGTAGACACAAGTAAAATATGAGGTAAATCAACTGTTTCAACTGCAATTTTTAAAGTGCAATTACTCACCTGCCATAGATATCTGCGAAAGATCAATGCACTATTAATTCTGCTGTACTGCTGTACTGAGTTCTCTGGTATGCAGGACTGAATGTATGCTCTGCAGCCTTTCCTACCAACCCAACTTAATCATTAACGTCAGCATTACCTTTGGACGTCATAAAGTTATATAATCTTTATCTATTCAACAAGTGCAACTTGTTGAATACGTAGATCACCCATCAGCGTTGGGTTTCCGTGAAGAAGAGTGTTCTTTGGTTTCAGGCAAAAAGAAGCACTTTGAGTTATCTTTTTTCAGGACTGTTTCACTAAAGCTACTTGCAATGTCATCTAGTTTTCATTTTGAGAGCAATATTTATTAATAAGATGACCCAAATGACAAAACTGAGGGAACAAGATATGTCTATTGTATACAGCGAACAAAGTAATTACAATAAAAATCTGCAAACTCCTGTATATGTCAGGGGCTGGATTTGCCTACAACATCCTTTCTTTTAATTTCAGGTATTTTTTTTATAGCTTCACTGGAAAAAAAAGGACAAATATGCAAAACATTAGGTGTCAGACGTCTGGAAATGTTTCTCAATCATAGAACGGCTGTCCTCTCTGTGTTTGTGCATTTCTGTGCAACGTTTTTTTGCCTTTAACGTCAAAGTGTTTGATGTCATAGCCCAGAATTTAAGATATTTCAAGTGTTGAGCAACATTCATCGGGACTTTTTACAAGCTTGTCCTGCGTTAGGTCTGTCTCGCTTCTTCCATCGTGTGCAGCTGAGGACAATCCTTTTGATACAACTGTCTCAGTCTAATCTGCTTTGCAGTTACGATAAATAGTTATCTGTGGAACGTTTTGTAAAAATTAAAAGAGAATTTAAAAAAGTCTATAAGTTTTGTTTAAACAGTAGCAGCAAACCACGGTGAAAAACATGGAGGCAGAACGGTACATGAGCCTCCCACACATGATCAGCAAGACAAAAGAAAGTTACACAGTTCCATGGGAGCAGTGATGGTATATTATGTGACACAGTGAACTCTGTAGGAAAATATTAGTAGAGTGGAGGTTTCTGCACAACTTCACCTACACGATGTATGGACAGGGCACAGCAGTCTTAAGAAGTAATGTGTTGTCAGAGAGTGGTTTTAAATACTACACATTGCTGGAGTTAAAAAAAAAAGGGAAACATTAACCAGAAGGCATCACTGTTTTTCTTTGAAATGCAGGTCAGTTAATGCAGGATTTAACTGACTGGATGTCAGAAACTGTGCTTTTTCTTTTGCTGTTACTTAACCAAAAATATCGATAAAGAAAACATACAGACTTTCTAAGTGGTTTAGAAGTTTAAATTTAGATGTTGAAACAGCTTTCTCAGAAAGTAATTAAATATGAACTTTTGCTGGTATCTACACCTGTACTCAAAAAAGTAAACACACAAAACACTGATGGGTTGAACATGTAAAATATATTGGGCACCATACCTTCACAGAAGCCAGAGGGAAGTGTCTCCTAGAAGGAAGAATACAAAATAAAGTGCTCTTACAGTTCTTGAACAAGCCGCATATGATTAGCCCCCGTGGAGCACTAGACGTTCAATGGGTCACAAGATGCACCGCCTCTTGTCTTTTTCTCCCACCGTATATAATGGCCAATAAGCTCAGGTTTGTATAACCGATAGGGTTAGTAAACCCAGTGCTTGTATTTGTATTGTTGATAGCAAGACAGAAGAAGATGTTTGATTGTTTTGGATGTTGTCAGTATTGTGGGGGAATTGTGGATGAATGATTACAAGGTTTTAATAGTAACAATATCAATAACGACACTGTTAATATTGCCAGAAATAAGCACAGTAATAATAACAAAAACACAAAATTTAAACACATTAGAAATATGTGTATTAAAGTATATGAGTACATACTTTTATGTCTGTATTTATGTAAATATGTGTTTGAATTTGAGGTGTAGAAGTGGATACAGATGTGAGTGTGTTCAAGTTATACTTGGAACAAAGATAACAAGATGGGATACATTTTCCATGGATATGTAATCGTAAGTGAGTAAATTTGTCATTTTTTTAGTCATGAGGTAGATGTTTTGGCAAAGTTAGTTCCAGAAGTCTCAGACAGTGCTCGTCTTTGTCCACATGTAGATGTTACTTGTGGTCACTACCCCAGCTGGCCTTTGCGTCCTGTCCTGAGGTTGTCATACATCGTCATGCCATCACAACAAAGGAATTAAGGGTACAGAACGTCAGAATCAAAAACAGCTTTATTGGCCAATATAAAGGTAGTACAGTGTGCCTTAATACAATAATAACTTAGATTATAATATGCCATAAAAAATGTTGTGAACAGTCATAGTAGCATATTATACTTCTACTATTTTTAATTATTTGTTTTTATGATATACTATGTCTTAGACTACCACCATGTTTTTACCATAAACTGTTTACTGTATTAAAAATGTTTTGTGTCTAAAAAAGGTTAATAAATTTGAGACATGTCTTCATTAGAGGGCTGATCTCTCAAAGACAACATGGTAGAAGCCAGTTAAGGTCATGCTTAACTTGTGTGAGCATCGCTGTAGTACACGTTCCTGTCCGCTAGATGGCGATGTATATTCATATTGATGTGGGTAATGAACCTCAGCATGTTGCAGCTGGTGAAACAATAGCATTCAAAGACAGTAGCTGTAGAGGAATAGCTGGGATGTTTTAAGTTTCTCATTATTATCTCATAATCTCAAATTGCTTATGTGCAGTGATCAAAATGTTTAGATTTTTAGAACAAAATGAGTTCCTGGAGAGGCTTACATATTATATGTTAAGGTCAACAACAGGGACAGTGGAAAGTAGGTGAAAGAATATAGTATAAAAGACTATACTATAGCACAATGACCAACTTATTTCGACATATTTTACTATTACAATTTATGACTTTTTTCATCATTCTATACGATGATTTTTTTTCGACAAAATATACTATGACTTTAATGGATTTAAAATACTATGCTATCAAACTGTTTTGACTTATTTCGACATGCTATAATATGAATTTTTAATTTCTATGACTTTTTTCAACGCTCTATATCATGTCTTACTAGACTATGAGAGAGAGAGAGAGAGAGAGAGAGAGAGAGAGAGAGAGAGAGAGAGAGAGAGAGAGAGTTAAGAGCAAAACATTCTCATGAGAAAGACGATGTTTGCCCTCCGGAAGCTTTACAGCCAGCTCCGTCAGTGGAGTTCACTTACACACACACATAATGAAGGATGAAACAGCTTCTCTTCAATCTGTCTGTGGGCTTCTTTTACACACAGGAAAAGGCAGACAGACACAAGGCCCAAAGGTCCCTCAGGATCAGAAAATGTACAATGCACACACAATTAATACTGCCTTAATGATTACACTTATATATTTTGCCCTTGTGACTATTTTCTGAAATTTTATTCACATTATTCTTTGCCTGAACTGGGGCGCTTCCACAATGCAACACTTCGTAATCTTTCTTTATTTTAGAGTGAAAGTGTGATTACTTTGCTTAGCGTCGCTAGCTTTTATATTACTTGCCAAAAAAAACTCTTTTTCAGGTGAAAAATGAACCAATTAGATTCCCAATAAGATAACGTCTATTTGGAAATTTACGTTTTTTGGAGCTGCGAGGAGCTACACACAGCCCCCGACACCTGCAGCAGTGACAGTTTTAACAAAAACACTGTCGACATGTGTTTTTGTACGGGCAGTTGAAGAGACAAGTCAGATGAAGAAAATAAAATTGTTTTGTATTAACAGATATGTGATGATAAAGTCTTTGGCGCTTGCACTTTTGTAATCGAGGGGCATCTGCCCTGAGCAGCAGCAAGATAAATCCCCCCGTGGAGTCCAGACACTGGTGGTGGTGGTGGTGGTGGTGGATGATGAGGATGATGGAATGATGAGTTGATGAATCTGTGAAGACTGAAGTTTCTGAAATCAATAACAAAATTATGACGCAAGATGGACACACTTTTATAAGCTAAAACATATCTTTTCTTGTATTCTTGCATCTTTCATACACAGCACAGTAAAAGGGCTTCCCATCTAAATGTATGTTAAGGTGACATTTAAAAGTCTTTTGAAATGTAGAAAAATGAGAACAAGCAGCAAACTTTAAAAACTTTAAATAATGAAAAATAGGAATAAAAAGATCCGCCATAACGATCTGTGGACGAGGACACAACAACCACCAGCAACAAAGGAAATTGGAAGGACAAGAAGGATCGTGCGCACACTGCAAAAAAATAGTGTGAAACACCAACAGACAAGCTTTGACATGGAACCCTAAAGAGGCCGACAGAGATCAAGAGACGACTGGGATGCAGCTGATACTAGATAGAAAAGAAAGCAAATGACCGTGAACTCCGGGTCCCTTGTCAACGTCATATACTCCAGGAGCGTTGTCAGGGAAAGTTGAAAGTGAAGTTTTCATCCCTTTGTGGGGCAAAAGCACTATGTAGAACGGACTACAGTACTATTACAAAATGTAATAAAGCAAGATGAGCATGTATTGTGTGTATTAATAAATTAGAGTCTCTTTATGGTCTGTAAATTAGCTATTGTTTATTTGCCATCCTCTCTAAATGTAGTGATTTCCTATGTATTAATACTAGATATAATTACTGACCCTCTTTCCAACCTCGTCCTATTAAAAAGGCTTATTTTTGGCTCTTTTCCTGATCAAGCCAAACGGGGATACAAAGAGGTCAAACAGTGAGGATAGTGAGTAATCAGTGCGTAAGCTCTTTGTCTTCATGCTTCCCAGATCAGAACAATTGCTGAAAATGCGTGGGCTGGAGAGACTTGATTTGGCCTATAATTGTATTTCTGAATGAATTCTCACAGAAAAACAAAGTCAGAAGAAAAAACACAGGACAATAAGTTTGTCAATAACTGTATGACGTAAGATATCCATTGTGTTACTGTATAACAGAGAGGCCAAAGTATTCTGGTTCCAGTGTTGCCCAAATCTCAAATTTTGTTGATTGATTCATAAAGGTCTGCCGTTGTTCTTGTGAATGTCTGTTTCCCCCAGATGGAGAAACTAATCAGGGTCACACAATGTGCTGTTGAGATTTGGGAGGCATGTGCGACCTACGTTTACCCAAAACTCTGTTCTCTGTTCAGATCATCGAGTGTCAGCAGACACAAGCCAATGGTGACAGGTATGCTATCTCACTAGCATAGCTAGCCCACGTTAACGCTGTAAGAGTGTGACGGAACGAAGCATCCTTGTGAGGAGGTGGAAGAGGAGGGGCAATAAGCCTGGAGGAAACCCTGTTGACTTGCTGCTTTGTCGACGATTAATACAACAGTACTGTGATAACTCTTCATAAATGGTGTAATGTTGTGTTGTCCTCTGGGGATTGTGAATATCTTCCTTTGGATCAAAGCGTTGGATGGAGGGTCATAAAGTATTCTCGTCCACTGTTTTGAGAGTATTTCAAGAAAAGGCAATTCTGACTGCCATCGTGACCCACTGACTTCCATGTTAATCTGAAAAAAAAAAAACAGTACATACATCCTCTCATATGTTAGAAGCCAGACATAAGTAGTCTCTGATTCTAACATGGGAAACTGAATGTTTGTTTACAGTGAGATTTGAGCTCAATCAGGGTTAAGTCCCAGTCAGAGCAGCTCAGTGTCCTGGGATTGGACCACAGCATAAACAAAGTGTCCTAGATAAGCATGTTGGACAGTTGTCCCGAGACCTGCTGAGGTCCCAAAGGACAGACAGACATATGTGTGGACAGAAAGGCAGAGGTTTGACGGGGGAAGTGACTGGGTCAGCTCACAGCGTGACACAGCTGAGACGGGCTCTTCTTTCCGTCTCTGTCTCTCAGCTGGCTGTCGGAACACAGCAGGCGTTTTCTAAGTTCAAGCTCTTACTTTTCCTAGAAAGTATTGAAAGTTATGGATTTCAAAAAATAAAAAAGCAATTAAAAGGGAGGTCTGGTCGTAATGTAATTCTCATTATCGTAACGAAATAATGTTGAGTATTTACAAAAATGAAAAATATCATCAGTTAAGAAAAAGCAGGAACCACACTTGTGGCAAAAATAAAGTACCAAAGTTGAGAGGTCCATTGCTGTGACAACCTATTCATACATAATTGTTTGTGTGTGTTGGAGTAATTGTGTGGAGTGTATGAGAGTTTATGTCTTTTTGAATGGTGTTTCTGCACTCCATGCACCAGCAGTGGTTGCTGCTACTTGCCACAGAAGCTCTCGGAAGGTTTTGGTGCAGCGTGAATTGTTCTAGACTGCAGCAGAAACTGGATCAAGGCCCTTCATGTCTGAATCAAGAGGAAGCCGGTTCCTCCCTTTTTACCTCCATCGTGTTTTCCTGACTCCCCACCTAAGGGGAAACAAAAGGCTCTGAATCAGCTGGAACAAAGAGACGCAAGATGTGCGCGCACGCGCGCGCGCGTGTGTGTGTGTGTGTGTGTGTGTGTGTGTGTGTGTGCGTGTGTCGGTGCTGTTTACCTACATTTCTGTCTGAATCTCCATCATGCCTTTGTTGGCGTGCCCATGAAGTTTAGTTCCTGTCTTCCTGCAGAGGAAGGAAGAAGCACAAAAAACAACAACACCCAACAAACTGACTATAAACCACGACACTCTGCCAGCGCATTCCTAGATCTCCCGTCTCCAGGTTGCCACAGTTTTGTTCCTACGTTTGTTCATTGCCTTAACCTGTGTGATTACCGCTCCTTAAACTGTACAGTTTAAACATCATGAGCTGATGTTTTAATTGATTAATAATGAGTAAAATACATATTGTAATACTCTGACTTTTTATGACATATTGTGACTTTATTACTTTACCTTGAGTTTTTATGACATGTTTATGGCATAATATTAAGACATCTTTCATGATTATTTTTGTTATGACAAACTATACTTTGACTTTTTTTTTTACAATATTATATACTATACTATTGAGGCGATATAAAATACAAAAATAAGTATCCACAAATAAAAATATATCATTAATATATTTACAAAAAAAACATATTTCTGTAATTTTTTACAGATTGGTATCAATTATATAGAAACGGAAAGATTTCCGTATTTTTTTGGATTAGGTTGAAAAGCAAACCTTATAGTTGTAATGGAAAATCTGTGATTGTGAATTAATGATCTCCTTCATCACAGCTGCTAATGATATTTGAATCAGAACATAAATTAAATTGAAAAACAATAAACCACACATGAAGCCAATGAGGGAGGGTAAGATCAGTATGCTTTAATAATAAGATATCAGTGCATAAACACAAACTTCTTATCGGGTTAAATTCCCCATATAGTAATACCATTGATAACAATATATGATAATAATAAGATCAATACGGATTTTTAGCATATAAAAAAAATGCAGATCATTGATCAGCTAATATAACTGTACTGTATGACATCGACAAAAACAGAATACAAGTTGCTAAACATGGATCCCATAAGGAAAAACAAAAAAACCCTGTTGTCACATGAGACACAAAATGCTGATATTTTCTTTAAAGAGGAGGTGCAATGAATGAGTGGATCAACTCATGACATGTTTTGTCACTTTTGTTTTGGGGGGGGGGGGAACCCTTCAAGCAGCACAGCATGTTGAGCACTAGGACTGGTGATAAGCCTTCTAGGGTTTAAATAGAGAGATTAAGCCCCGCCCATTTTTTGGTTAGCATCTGTGCTTCTAGCATTTGCTTTTTCTCTCAGAGAGTTTTCTCTATTTTGTCTTCTTGACACCTGCTCCTCCGGTCGACTATCCATATTCCAAGATAACCGAATTTTGACTTGTTTTCATTTTCGCAAAGATAAAACAGTCAGAATACATAACTACATCTCCTAAGAAGCTTTAAGACTCACTGAGGTGTATTTCAAAAAAACCTAACAAAATATGTTTAATCTTTGTTAAAATGACTGGTTGTATAAATTTGGCATTTTTAAACAATTCTAAAATTTCAGGTCGAAGCTAGCGGAGCAGAAGCTATCCTAAAACGGTGGCGGGACCTCCCCTCTGCCTAGATTTTTATTTCTAAAATCGACTTCCATCTAGCCAACTCTTTCCACATACAATAACCCAATCTAGTTCAAATCTCATCAGTTAATAAAGTCCATCTGATGTGCTTTTCTTCCTCCAGGCGCATCGTTTCAGAACATTAAACATGTTCAGCCTAAAAACTCTTTGGTCTTCAAAAATGTACTTTTATACTCCGTAAATCGTAGTGAACATAATGATTTAAAAGGTGCTTTGAACATGCTTTAAGGTGCTTTTCTGTAATCTAACCAACTTTCATTATTATAATTGATCATTATACAGAACATATTTAATACTATACATAATCCTGCAAATAGGAATATCTCAATTTGCTTTCAACATTGAAAAAGGAAGAACTCTGAATTTGAGCAGTGATAAGAATGCCCTCTTACCTAAAGTAATTGCTGACAGATCAGGAGAGAAAACCAAATTTGGCTTTTGAGTCTTACAAGAAAGTGAAGGTAGAGGGGGAGTGAGAGTAGTAACAGATGAGTTATATGTCGAGTGGAGGAGTTGAGGAGATATGCATCAGTGGGCAGGCTGAGCAGGATCTATCTCTCTCTTTTAGTGTCTTTCAAGTCGACATCACTTCTTTTCGTTCCTCCTTCATAACTTCTCAAACTCTTTCTCTGACCACATCCCCTCTCAGGATGATGATAATATCCAGTCCTATCAAACATCATGTGGTTTAGCTGGCTTGATTTACTCTTCTACAACCTGGAGTTAATATTCATAGATTTGGACTTATTATCGTTAGTTGTAATAGCATTTTAGTCACTGCCAGACAGCTTTACATATGTCCTTTCATACATACGTCCTTTCAGTTTAAACACTGAAACAGATTTGGTTATAGCCTTTCTAAACATCTGCATCATCATGTTGCCTTCCCCATTTTTTTAAGGCAAACTGTGCAGCCTGTATATTTATTTATAAAGATAAAAGTCATGCAAATTTGGTTTGCAGAGTGACTGTAATGGACTCTCGACACGTGTGTCAAGCAATCTGCAAACTTTGTCACTGCCGTCCCCCTCTGACCTTTCACCCTCCCCGGAGAACTTTTACTGTAAAGTCAAATCTCTCTCAACCAAACCAAAGTTTAAAAGCAGCTTCATCAACAAAAAAATGTTGTTTTGATGAGCTGGGGAATCCCTTCCCTTAAAAACCTTTCACCAATGTGAACTTGTTATCACCAGGGGATCTACAATGGGTTCTAATGTGTTTCTGCCAGGCTGCTGTTCTATCTGGATCTAAATGAATGCTTCAGAGGAGGATATTAAGGAGATGTTGACGACAAAACCTGAGGTTATTATAAGAAAAATCATCCCAACTGTGACATTGTGTTCCAATGTACAAAAGTTAAGTGGACACAACAAATACTAGCTGGTTGTTAACTGTTAAGGTGTTCAGATTCCGTCAAGTTGGGATTTTATTCGACAATAGACTCCAGAGTCAAAGGAAGTTAACTGTGCTCTTGAAGGGCAAACTCAGTATGTGGGACAAACATAAGGCACATTATAAGGATTCAAAATCTTTAGACTTTAAAGAAAATGTCAGCACGACATCAAAATATAGAGTTAGGATCCAAGGGATGTTATACAAAGTCTAGAAAAATGACACATACATGTCTATGAAGCACAATTTCTTTTATATATGCAACTCAAAAACTATGATTAATTATGTGGCAACTTCACCTTCTTTACAATATTCAAAATGCTACATATTTGAAAAGTGAAACCGATTCATTTTTTTATCTGAACTTTTTTCCTGTTGTTTTTAGTTTTATTGTCTTAAAGCAAGAACAAAAAAACAGCATTGCCCAGCCAACAGACCCAATAGATATTTTAGCGATAGGATATTTAAGGCTAAAACCCTGGAGGGGAAAAAAAATTCCACAACACAGAAACAGCACGAGAGGAAACTGCACAGCGAGGGATCTGATCCATCTGCATCTATGGGGGTAGATAAGGACAAAGTACCAGAACACAAACACTAAAAACACTATCTTCAACATCAGTTGTCTTTAAATACGTAACGGATATGTGAACAAAGATCTATAACTCATTCTCTTAATAAGTGGTCACCACACAAAGAGGATTACCTCAAAAAATAGAGTGAGATTAAGAAAAAATACTTTGAGTGTACAGGAAAGGAGAGAACAGAGAACAATGGTTAACGTGCCGCCACAGAGCACATACTGTCGGTGAGATTACTGACATCATTTGGGTGAAAATTACAGTTTGTAGTCTGAAAATAAAAACTCTGACCTTACTCCTAGTTCATAGTGTATTAGGTATACTCATACTAGTCTGTGTCAAAGCTTTCTGATATTGGCAGCCACTCCATGTCGTGAATTACAATATAAACTGGCCTTGTCCTAACCATACAGAATAATACATACACTTCAAGTCACTTCACAGGCTGCTGTACTGCACTGGAACTAAGGCTGCTGCTCCTCTGTACATATGTATAGTCTGAATGGGTAAGTGCTTATGCAGTTGCTGCTGCCATCAACTTCAGACTGATTGGTTTGTGCAGTGGTGTGGTGTGCAAAGAGGGTGAGGGGAGCAACCTCTGCTGCCCTTCTTTATTTAAAAGGCCTTTTTTTTTTTTTTAAATAGGAGATGATTAATTTTCTCGCTAATATAACAACAAAGGGGCAACTGAGGTTACTAGAACCTACGCAAGTGGCAATCTGATTGGCCAATCGTCCGTCGGATCAGCCAAAGTGCTCTTTCGAGCCCTCTTAGTGCATCTCTGATCAGCTCCTGTGGCTCAAATGCCCTTCACATACCCCCAAATATACTCCGGTTAGCTAAAAGAAAGTTTTAGCCCATTTACTACAAAGCTTGCATACTTTACATTACAGCTAACCATTCTGCAAACTATGTTTTTGTGGTGTAGACACTTTGTTTCCTGTAGAAATGTATTAGAAATGAATGGAAACCAATGGCTGGCCTGGAATGGTAGAAAAAGTACATGTGACCAAGTTCTGCAAAATAAGCTAATATATAATTGATCTCTAGTTACAAAGCCTAAAATATGTGATCTATTAAGGGCAACAATTAAAGCTTAAAGTAAAACTTTCATTCACAAGAGGTGCCCCCTTTTTCCTTCCCACCCCTGCTCCTTAGATCGTCTGTGCACACCACTGGTTTGTATGGATCGCGTGAAGTGTGTGTGCAAGTCTACAATATGTAATCACATGAACTACTACTGTGTATGCAAGTCAGATCCTTTGCGCAAGCTATCGGTGTGGTGAATAAGGCAAGCTTTGCTGCTGACTATATAAGCTTTAGCTCAATTAAATAATTGCACAATAGGAGAAAAACCCTGTAGTCACACAAGCTACTTAGCTGACTGAGAAAATCAAGCGAGAGAAAAACACATTTGGATAAATAAAGGACAGATTTAAGAAGAGAAGTTAAAAAAGAACTTACAGTAGAATACATGTATTGTAATATATGTGAAGTGAGTTTGACCCGAGAAATAAAAGAATCTGGTCGAATAACAACATGAAAAAAATAAATGAGGAAAAGTAAAGCAGTATTGGTATTTCCTGTTGATTAGGATGCAATAACCTGGGGACATCTGATAAAAGCTAAAATATCTGAGTTCTATAGCAGAAAAATAGAGTTATTATAATAAGTAAAATAACAATATAATGCATATGTCATTACAGTTGACTCAAGCAGAAGTAATGCTACCGTGAAACAGACTCCTGAATGATCAAACTGCACTACTTTGATATTTAAACAGAGCAGATGATGGAGATGTTACGGTGACTCAGGTGGGATGGATTCAGGCAAGAACAGGCAGGTTAATGCCCGTTTGAGTGCGTCTGTCTTAACTCAAGCCGAGGTAAGCTAAACGTGACGAAAGAAATATTCTCTGTGTTGTCATGTACAAGTTAAATGTTATTTTGACTTCAGTCGGACATCCTAATATAGGTGATTTGGGATTTTTGGGAGCTTTATCTTTTCAATCATAAGATAAAGCTTTAAAGAGAGAAATGATTTAAAAACAAATTCTTGGTTGTTTTAAATCTAAACATGGCTACAATTCAGAACAAGTTCATGATACCCAACTTTGACTTTGACAGAGACTAAGAACTCGGCTGGGTTTAATTGCTGGTTAGATATTCAAAGTGAAAGAACACAGTGTAGTCTAGGTAGTATAGTACCTCTCCTCTGAGCTAGTGGGTTAGCTGCTAAAGAGAAGGTAGGTCTGGGAACTGAGCTGCATAGAGTTCATATCAGGGTGGAGGTCTGTGACGGAGACCGGGCCGGTTCAACGTTTGAATCCCGATGCCACAAATACTCATTTTTCACCAAAGACCCGAGTTCAGCCGGTGCTTCTGAACACAGAGACGTCTACGCCAAACCCCGACGATCCCGGTGTCAAGACCTTTTGACGCGGACAGAGTGTTGCATTATTTTTACTCTGTTAATTGTCCCGCGTTGACCTTTTTTCACCAACTGACGCATGTTAATATATATGTATGTGGGTCATCTATGTGGTTGGCTCAATGCAGGGCAACTTTTGTACACTGGTGTTCAACCTGTATCTGATTTGAGTCAAGAGGAAAAAGGCCGTGACCCTGATATCTCAGCTTGCTTAGATGGTCTAGGTACAGATCTATAAAGGGACAGGGAACAGTAGTGTGGGCTGAGCCATACAAGCTAAATAAGGCAGGATGTGGTTATGAATACCATTCCCTAAAGGTAGCTTAGCCCCAAGGGCTCTCAGAAGGCTCAGAGGTATGAAGGTAAAGAAAGGCTTAGTCTTGGGCTACAGACTGAGGCTTAGGGTTGGGAATAAGTCCGGGTCTAAGGCAGGTTTTGAATCTGAGGGCTCTAGGTGGCCTGGTCCAGGGCTCTCAGCAGGTCACAGCCGTGGAGGAGGTACAGGCTGCCCTGCAGCGGGACGTTGACCTCGCAGTCGTAGCGGGTCAACTCCGGCAGACAGTAGGACTCAAACGTAGGGCCCAGCAGACGGCTAGCGATACCTAGAAGATGACAGAAATGGAAAGAACGTCTCAATGTCCTTTATTTGTCATTCGGTTTGCTGTTATTGTCGTGCAGTCTTTGGCAATGACATTCTTTGTTCTCAGCCTCTCTCCAAAAAGGCTCAATAAATAAGAAAACAGTACAGTGCCGCCGCTGCTACATAGTGATATCAGTTTCTAGCCAGTTTAACACTGTGGACTGTAAACAGTACAGACAGGTCAGCTCACCCTCACCTATCCTGTTTCCTGGATACTGACACTTCCGGTGTTGCTGCACAGAGCTGAGACATGAAGACATGCTGCCGGGCATCATCCTGCCCATCTCTGACGGCGAGACAGAAAAACACAGGTACAGTTGTTGGGTGGAACAGATGATAGTGAAAGATGTTTTTTCCACACACACACGCACACACACAGACATGAGCTCATACCTGTCAGTGATCCTGCGCTGAGGGAGCGATCCATGGCGGCACAAGTGTCACCCCTCATCTTCTTCCATATGAGTTCTGAAGGCGTACGTTCATCCTGAAACACAATCACGTGTCCGCAACAAAAGAGTGCATTTAACTGCTTATATCATAACAAGCTAAAGTAAAACTGAATGTGAGGTTTCAGGTTCATACTAATATTTAAAAAACACATCTTTTCTGATACTATCTCTCTGAATATACATCTGTTTTTAACACTGTTTTAGCGCCTGTCTCTTTAAGCCCGCCTCCCAAAAAGCCCAGTTTGGCGCACCTTTGCAAAGGTAGTTCTCAAGTCGTGGGTAAAGATACTTAGATGGATGTCGGTTTATTTGAATGAGCCTGCACGATACGTAAGAAGTGGAGCCAGATCTATGGCTTGTTGAATCACGTGTTCTTTTTAACTAGACAGTCGACAGAAACTGACAAGGTTGTCTTATTTTACAGTTTGTGGGTTTGTAGGCACTCTAGATACCCAAATGTATGTACATAAGCACCGATAAAGTGGGTTTTTCATGATACTGTATGTCACCTTCAACTTCAATGGTACAACAAATACTGCATGTTTATCAGAGAAACTCACCACAGCCATCTGAGTGAAGGAGCGCTTGATACTGTTGGCCACTCTGGCTGGACTCATGTCTCTGTAGGCTTGCACAAAGTTGTCAATGGACCTGCACACACACATGTACACACACACAAACACATTTAAATTTGATGTCGAAACAGCCAGCCGCTCTTAGATTGTACTCTTTTATCCGCCCTCTTAACTTTGCATTTCAAGCAATTCATTATAAGAAATAGCTGGGAAACCTAAAAACGTCTCTCGTGAATTATTGTTTTGTCTCGGTTTAAAAGGTGAATGTTCGGACTGCGTTGATTGTTACATCACCTCTGTTTCTGCATGAGGTGTGGCATGTTCTGTTGGCAGGACGGGCGCTCCTCTCCAGACAAATGGTCCATCAGGTACGCCTTGGTGGCTTGTTGTTGTTGGTGGTACGTTATCAGAGGGTCCGGTGGCCACTGCAGATTCTGCCTGCCACTTATGGAGGACAGAGGGGTGCTTGCTGAAGCCTGGAATGGAGGATTCTGCATGTGCCCCATTATGCAAGACCCTGCACGGGAGTCCACAGCTAACTGGCTGGAGCCTCTCTTCTCCCCTGCGGCCCAGGACGCAGCTGCCTGGTGCTGGTAGTGGCCTTGTGGCTGAGGAGGGGGAGACAGGGGCTGGAAGAGGCTGGCGATGTTGCTGAAGCTCTTTTGGGTGGGCTGTTGTGTTTTGGGCAGGCCGCTTTTGCTCCCAATGGATCCCGCTGGACCCCCCTCTAGGGGCTCGGACTCTGTGATGATGGGATTCAGCTGGAAGTCCTCGCCATCCATCGGGATGTAAGGAGCCAACGTCTCCAGGTCTAAGTCACTCAAGTTGCTCTGGGAAAGTGAAAAATGCAGTTATAGAGGGTGTTAACCAACTCGCCAGATATACAGCTGTTGCATTATGTTTTTCCTTCTCAGACTGTGCAGGTAGATACATTTTTACAAATTCCTTGTGAGGAAGACAAAAGCCTTCGACACGAGTATAATCTTGCACATGTTGAAATAAGCTTTTTGCCAAAAAGGAAGAGAGACAAGGAAAGCGAAGTTAACCTCATAAATCAAATGAATGCACTGATAACAGAGAGGCAAACATAAACATATTAATGGGACACGCACTTCGGTGTTTGCAGGTGTGTTTCCCTTTGTGTTCAGAGAAAAGAGCTTCTCAGTCAGCTCCACCTTCAGGTCACTCTCCACTGAGCTGTAGTAATCACCTGGGCTGCTGGGCTGCAGGGGTGAACGAGAGGAGGAGGATGGAAGAGAGGAGGATAATAAATGGGGACGAGATAGAGAGAGGAAAGAAAGGGACAACACGTAAGCCAAAGAACAGTTTAAAAAGAAAAGGGAAACAACCAAAACAAAGAGAAAGAGATGAGTTTCGACAAAGGCACTATTCACCGCTAAGAGCCTGTTCCTTCCAAATATCCACCCCCGTTATTCTCACACACATTGCCCACAGTTAGGGACCTTCGACCCCACAGGCCTCACTGAACACAAAAAGAACAAACTACGAAACAAACACAACCAGTTGCTCGCTCACTAACTAATTACTCCTTTCAGTGTAACATTCAGTCTCTATTAGTCTCAGCTTCCCTCCTCGTCCTCACCGTGGAGCAGCTACTGAGGCTCGGAGTGGCGCTGCCCGGTGGCGGATTCTGCTGCACGGTGAATGCACCGGCCATGTTAGCCATGTCCCTTGGAACTGATGCCGGAGGGGCAGGCTTGTGGCTCTCGCTGGCCCAGGAAGTAGGTCCTAGAGGGGGCATAGCTGCGGCAGACACCTGGGTGTATCCTGCAGGCTGCTGGGGCTCCTCGAACTGAGGGCCATCTGCAAGAAAGAAGAAGAAATCAGAGTCAGTTGTAAAGAGAAGGGATAAAGAATCAAAGTGGTGTGGAGGAAGAGGGTTGACCAACACGACAGCTGATTGTCCATTTTAATAAAACAAATTTATGCAAACAAATGTTTGTCTTGCAAGGATCTAAGTAGCTTTTATAACAACAAATGAGGGGAAAATTGTTAATATCAATACTAAAGTTTAAAACAAGTGACAGAAGTCAATACAGACCGAAGTCCAGGGTGATGATTGTGTCTCCAGGTGTCGGAGCCAGCTCGGTGAGCTCCTCCGGTTCCTCTTTTAGTTTCTGGAAGAGGGCTTCTCCCGGCTCTCCGGTCACACCCGCACCTCCAGCAGTGAAGAAGCTGCTCATGCGGTGTGGTTTGAACAGGGACTCTGTCTGCTTCAAGGACAAAATCATCGACTTCTCCTCGATGTCACTGCAGGTTCGGAGAGGGAGAGCGGAGCGAGTCGGCTTTTGTGTTCAGAGAACTCATAAAAGCACATTAAACACTTGAAGGATTCGGAAGCCCATATAAAGCTCTCATGTAATGTGGCGTGTGATGATTTTGAGATTTTCCTCTACATTGGGTTCCCAGTGAGATTATACATTGTTTCAATCTGAAATGCTTTGATGTCTTGACCTCGAGATTCGTAGCGTATTGTGACTTTTTCTTGAGCACTGGTACTTCTCACAAGCTGCCAGTGCTCTTTTCTGCCCTCTTCATATCTGGTTCTCTGTGCGATTCATAATGACATAATGGTTTTTTTTGCACCGTTGGCTCGTCCAGAGGCCGTCCACATTGTTTTTATCTTCATTATATATATATATATATATATATACATAATATCTTATAGAATTATACTATGGGCTACAAGTAACACAGGAAAGCACTTTAACTATTAATATTATGGGTAAATATACAAGCAAGAGATTGCTGATACGAGCTGATACACACGCCAACATGTGAATAAGGGGAGTACTCTACATATGTTTTTGCACTTAAACCACTGTGTACAAGTACAAGTCTCAGATCTAAACACTTCATTTAAGAATGGGGCATGGGCCTTCATAAATCTGCTTCGTTAAATAACGTTTTTTTTAAACAAACCCGATCTTGTCACCTAGAATCTGCCATCACTGAAGGATGACAGTGCTCACCTGAGGACATAGTTTATGCACACGATGCACTGGGGCTGGGAGTTGCGGCTGTTATAAATAACAGTTCCCTGGGTTTCTACCCAGACGTAGCCTCCGTTCTTAGCCAGCATGCGATACTGACCGCTCACTGCCTGGCCCTTGGAACACACTGCAGAGAGAGAGAGAGAGAGAGAGAGAGAGAGAGAGAGAGAGAGAGAGAGAGAGAGAGAGAGAGAAGTAGGTAAGAGCTTTGAGTTATGAGCTATTGTGTTTGGTGACTTAACACAACTCAGGAATGGAACTGAGCCATGTTTTATGTCCTCTCACTCCTCAGCGGCTTAGTCAGATAAGAACCCTTTTCAAGACCATCTGATGATGTCAACTGTGTCACCATTCAGCTAAAGTAATAGTGTATTAAAGATGTTTAGCTCCTATGAGGTTTGGATAATACACTTATGATCCATGAGTGACTTATGGGAGCTGGATTTATTACACTATGAAAAATAATCATTGTTTGATCTTATGTAATGTTTTGAATAATATATTTTATTGTCCAGTACAGCAGCGCACTACAGTAGATAATCTCAGAGGGAGACTAAGCCTGCTGTACATGAGACTCTTCATATAAATGACAGAATAGAACAGATAGTTAAACAATCTGTTAAATGTATTTAAATGTATAATGTATATATATATATATATATACACATTGCACAAGGCTGTGAAATCGACCTGACATCAGTTAGCAGGAGAAAGTGAATTTTGAGCTGAGAAGGAGATGTGCTGGCTGCAATCCAAAGTTCAACACTGGCGTGGGAAAGGAGCAGAACTGTGGTCAGAGAGTGTACATAAGGCCAGTGACTGTGTGTGTGTGTGTGTGTGTCTGTGAGTGTGAGGAAGGGCAATATTAAATGTAGTAAAGAACACTGTCAGTTTGCATGTGCTGATCAAAAGGCTGGTCACGCTGGCTGTAAGAGCGGGTCGTCTGTGTGTGTGTGTGTGTGTGTGTGTGTGTGTGTGTGTGTGTGTGTGTGTGTGTGTGTCTGTGTGTCATAGAGCGAGAGATAGAGAGCCCTTTATCTCAGCAGATTACAGACAACTAAGAACTTTAGACATGGATGATTGAGAACAGAAGTAAAGGAAAGAAAAACACACAAAACTAAAAATCCACAAACACCACAACACACATCGTCTGCAGACAATCTTGAGTCCTAAAATCTTATTTTAAAGTCAGTACCTTAATGTCGTTTGTTAGTTTCAAGATACAGACAATCAGCATTTCTAGAAAATTCCTTAATGAATTAAACTGCACCTGAGATATGAGAATCTCACAGCAGAGTTATTCCTTGTTTTATGAAAAATATAAATAAAAAAGGAACGTCTCATTGTCAGCAAAGCAAGATTGTAATTAAAGGTTCTAAAATCAAAAATTGCACCGGCTCCTGGAACAGGAAACTTTGACCGATGATGTGAGTTAGAGGGATGTTTTTTTTGCACGCTGCCATTATGTTGCATGAGTGGTTTTAAGGAACAAAATTACCACTTTTTTCTTTATCATTAGAGGCTCTGAACAGAGTACTGTCAGTGGAGAGAAAAGCCATGACACTTCAGAAGCTGGTTAACACACACACACACAGACACACACACACACACACACACACACACGCGGTGTCATTAGAATGTAATAGAGGCCACCTGGTCCCTTTGTCCAGTGTGGGCAAACCTCATTAAGCCATCAATGGTTGTGCTTAATCTAATAAAGACAAGACATCTTAATACCAAGCCCCTGCTCTGTACACAAACACACACACACACACAGACACACACACACACACACTAACAAACGAATGTTTTTACCATATTAACTAAAAGAAAAATCATCAGGAAATACAGCCTGGTATTCATACTTGATTTTGCTAATCTGATAGAAGGAAACATGTTAACGCCAACATTTCCATCCAGATCATAGAGTTATAATTCAGCGATGCACAGGGAATATCCCCACCTTGTTATTCCGGTCAGAATGGTGCTTTAAACAGAAGTTAGCTAGTGTGGAGTCATATTAAACGTATGCCTCTGAGTGTATATACATGCGAGTTGTGTGTGCTTACAGTTGTTGTGGCTCTTGGTGACGCCGTCTGAGTCCAGTGCGTGGTAAAAGTCGTAGACCGAGCGACCCAGCAGGTCCTCAGGAGTGTATCCCATCAGCTCCGATACCCTGTAACACACACACACACACACACACACATTCAATAATGCACATGATTTCATGTTATCAATTTGAACTTTTTCGTTGATTCCTTTCTATTACGCAGTGCTCACAAGACAAATGCTGCTCTCTGCCCTGAACCTCTGCACTTCAAAAGGCTTCACACACGATTTGGAAATCAAGCAGAGGGGTGAGTCTTCCAAAAATAAGAATTGTTCACATTCTGAGTCTCTGCTATGTGCTTCTGGGAACAGCTTATCTCTTTCTGTCACTCACTAATGAGGATCTTGTTGCTGGTTCACCTCATTTAAAAATACCTCTTTACCTTTTATTTTTCTCCAAATCTCTCTTACCTCAATAACACAGGTTTTTGGGGAGTAAATTACAGGATTACAGTAATCTGATTACCAAGAAAAAAAGGCACTGAGGTGCAGATGCGTCTCAACATTCGACTTATATTTACTTTGTTGAGTGCAGAAGGTAAATACCGACTTAGTTTTAGGCCCTGTTCACACCGAACATACTTGGAGTGGTTTACTCACTTTCAAAGGAGAGTCTCTTCCCAACAAACTGTGCTGTGAGAACATAATCCAAACCATCAACAGGAAATGACCCCTGAACACGAGGTTTAAAGGAGGCCAGAGAGGATAAACTGGGACATAGAGTGCAGACTCGTTCGTCATGCTTAGCCCAAATTAAAAGAGGCTGGAATGTGATTTCTTTTGACTCCTCCCTCCACCAAAAACTTTCAGTCTGGCAAATATAATCTCGAGTAAGTAAGCTGCTTGTGAGTGTTTACGCCTGTTATGTAGGAGCTTGGGTATACAATGGTGCAATTTTTGTACTAAACCTAAAGTCTATTTTTAAAACTATTTTACCACACTATGCAAATTATATTTAGGATGAAGATGAACCATCAGCGGATGGTTACGAGTTGTGTGGATTAGATGTGTGAGTGACTGAAAGAGGAGAGAGAAGGTTCTGGCAGTGCAGAGACTCTCATCCTCAGATAATCCTGACAGATGCAGGCCAAGGAGAAAATGTAGACTTTATGAGAGGCAGGTGAAAAAAGAGGCAGTGAGAAGGAGATACTAAGGGAGGAATAACAGGAGCGACAGACAGGAACGGTCGGAAACATGGAAGATAGAAAAGATAAGGGAGAAAGGAGATGGAAAAAAGAAAGAAAACAGAATCATATTCAAGAGTGGTTGCACTAAGAATAGCATCAAATTATAATAATGCTTATGATGATGATCATGAGAGGTTAGACTTCTCCTGGACGTTGCCTTTTGTGGAGAAGTTGTTCTCATTGTCTCCTTCTCCACTAAGTGAGAAGTCTCCTTTCCTTTTTCCCTCCTTCACTTCTCTTTCTTGGTCTACCCCTACTCGACCTGTCACAAAGCCAGACATGAGCTAAAGGGAACTTTCTGTCCCTTCCCTAATGAGTCTAAGTCCCCGCCGAGCCAGGAGGGTGACCCGCCTACTATGAACTCATTTGCGTAATTGGAGCAAAGATTTGGGCAGCTATCAAATTGCACCAAGGAGGTGAGAAAGAAAATAGGTCCTTGTTTGTAGAACGGTCACGCAATAAGCAAACGCACACACGCTTTTTTCCCCGAAAGAAACCTTTGTCCTGCATGAGCAACTTGATAAGATTAGAGGTCTGTGAGCATGTGGTTGTGTAACTCGAATCAGAAATGTGTGTGTGTGTGTGTGTGTGTGTGTGTGTGTGTGTCATCGCGTCCTCGTGCCAAAGGGAGAGAAATATTTGGATGCAAATGAACCGGCTCTTTGGTTTCAAGATGGCCGCTGTGCCTGTAACAGACTTGGCAGCAGAAGGACAAATAATTACAAAAATGTAATTATATGTAATTATAACAAAAAATGTAATGTTACCATATTGACCCTTGTGCACACGCACACACACACACACACACACACGACAGGATTGATGTCGAGGGGCAACTTTGAAATACGGGAACTGGAACGTGAATCTGTCATCGGGAACACTTGGCCCAGTCTGAAAATGTGCATGAGGGCGTCTTATTAAAGTATTTATATTTCATGCCTGGCTTACATTTCCCACCGACGTCCCTGCCAAGTCAAACTGACACAGTGAAAACATTGCAATCAGTCAACAGTGTGCTGCAATTTAAGGCTTGTGTTTTAACTGGCAGCTGTCCACAACATGAAGATGCTCTTCCACTGAACTCTACAGGTGTTAGGGTAAGGACTCAGTAAGTACACGGATTCTCTTTCTGTGAAGTCATGTTTCTGGTTTCAGTCTCTAAAATGTGGTGGCTTTTTTTTGTTGCTTTTCATAATTTGGGTTATTCTCAGATGACTTTAATCCCAACAAGGCATTAAACATTATATCCTTCTGTGCACGACTGTGTATGTGTTTCCTGCCTACCTCCCGTCACAGTAGGTGAACTTCATGTCCATGCTGTGTCTGCTCAGGAAGGTCTTGCTGTCCAGCGGTGTGTCGATGTTGGACGGGTGCGCGATGGGTTCGCACATCAGGACAGCGCAGGTGAGCGGGGGCTCTGTGAAGCCGCACAGCACGCGCGGAGGACAGCTGTTGTACATCTTCAGGTGTCCGGTGCAATGCAGCACCTGGAGGGAGCAGCAGGGGGACGAATGAAGCTCACACTGCGCAGCGATGAAAATCACAGGATGTGTGGCTGCTTGTCATTTTTGTGAAATTACTTCGTCAGTGAAGTGAATTTATTTTTGTTCTTTACAACATATTCAAGTCATGTTTACCATACTTGTCTGTTTTCGTTCAACATGTTTTTTAATGTATGTATAGTTTTACTTGCCGAGTTCTATAATATCTGTATAGGATGTGTTTCTTTTGCTACCCTGCAACCGTGGTGTGCAGATGTTGCAGATGTGCTGGCTTGAAGCTGCAGCAGCTCTCTCTCTCTCTCTCTCTCTCTCTCTCTCTCTCTCTCTCTCTCTC